CCCAGCTGCGGAGAATCAGTTTTATAAGGGCATTGTAAGGGAAAATTTCACTTGTTCCCGGTTGTTGCACGGATTCCCCAGGGAGCAAAGCTTTCGTACGTGCGTACATACAGAGCGCAAGCAGCAAAAGGAGCGGAATAAGACATCTCATAAATTCGTTTCTTTGCTTGGCCCCCTTCCGAAGAAGAACTGGGTATTTTTGGGTAGCGCTACGGAAAAAAGTTACGAGAAAAGCTTAAAAATAAGTCTTTTGTGCGAGCGACAGCGCTGCAATTAACTACGTTGCAATGATTTCGATGCTTTTTGCGTGGAAGATTATCTGAAAGATCTCGCTGTCACGTATTTCAAAGGACCACGCTCTAACGAGGCTTCTTTACTTTTTTTCTTGCGGCGGGAGGGGGGGGGGGGCGCTGCACACAAGCGAAGTATGCTCAGCTCTTTTTTTCTTTTCAGCTAATAATCCGAGAACGATGTAAAGATGCACTCGCTGCGATAATCGATTAATGGTCAATTCGTAGGATAATTGACCACGAGGTAAATAATATTATGCAAAGAACCGGCAGCGGTTTAGCAAAGTGCATGATCGATAGACACGCCAGTGGCTTTTAGTCTCGTTCTTTTCTTGCTTTCTTTGAAAAGTATGACGTGTTCCTCGCCTATGCATAGTGACAGAATGGGATCATGCAAAAGTACATTGCACCTCGATTATAATAGTTTGTTTGCTGGTGGGTGTCGCCGCCAGCGCAGTGCATTGAAAAACTCAAGTTTGTTAAGTGGACTCTGGCTCTGTCGCGCTCTAATGCAGCTGAAAGTTTGTATGTGACATACATTGGGGCTCGTTGTATTTTAATTTTAGAAGATACGCGTCATAAGCTCGCGCACGTAAACCATAGAGCCGTTGCTCAGCGAGACAGAGAGAGAGAGAGAGAGAGAGAGAGAGAGAGAGAGAGAGAGGAGAGAGAGAGAGAGAGAGAGAGAGAGAGAGAGAGAGAGAGAGAGAGAGGAGAGAGAGAGAGAGAGAGAGGAGAGAGAGAGAGAGAGAGAGAGAGAGAGAGAGAGAGAGAGAGAGAGAGAGAGAGAGAGAGAGAGAGAGAGAGAGAGAGAGAGAGAGAGAGAGAGAGGAGAGAGAGAGAGAGGAGAGAGAGAGAGAGAGAGAGAGAAGAGACGGACACAGAGAGAAAAAATTGACGAGGCGCGCTAATTTTTAATATTTATGGACGGCTATGTACGCAAAGACAGAGCGGTGTTTACGCGCTTCTCACCTCGCGTGAACCCGCCTATTTACTTATTTAGAGTAATTGATTGCGGCGATAATGCGCTCGCATACATACACACTTAAGCCAAAGACCCCGAGCTTTTGCTGCGCCTCTCCCGCGCTCGAGTTACGTCGCCTTGGTACCTGCGAAAGTAAAAAATTCGAGGAAAAAAAAAAAAAAGAGTCCTCGCGCGGACATCGGGCCCGCCGACGTACAGAGCGGACAACCTTTGCCATTAATTTTGCCGTGCGCGGCTTTGCTTTGCAGTCGCGCGCGCTTGGCAAGCGTACCTTGGGTTCCATTACCCTTGTTGTTAAACTTAGTACTGAACTATAGACCCGCAGCAGCTCCGCGGCGGCGAACGCCGACTCAGCGCGGCGGTTGCAGAGCCACGTGGCCGGAGACGTGTGGCCGCGCGCGGTGCATACGCATACACAGCGCCGAGTAAGCGAGAGGGAGCCTCGATTCCGAATCGACTGCCACCGCTACCGTTCTATCTCTCTACTGTGTGTGTGTGTGTGTGTGTGTGTGTGCATACGCGAAGCGTTATCGCGCGGCTTAACCGGCACGCGCGAGCGCGACGCCACTTTGTCACGATTGATACTATCGCCTACTTCTACGCTCGCGGCCTACTCCTCAATTATGCATCCTTAATTGGACGATCTGCCATTCCCCTCGCCTGCACGCGCAGCTGGCGCTTTCGTAAATAATGGCTATTACGCTGTTCTCTCTCCACCCCATATCTGCATTTCGTTGACACAACACACCTGCAAGCTTTCTTCTTTGTTTGCCCACCGTTGTTGCTCTGCACTAGATATGTGCAAGCGTGATAAAGAGTTTTCACGCTTGTTTGCTTTCTTCTGTTATACGCGAGTTTAAGGCGCCGTTTGTCAAACCGTCAACAGCGTAAATTCAGTTGCACTTTCAGATTACAACTTTACATCTTCTGTATTGGTAGACAACTTTGAAAAATTAACTTAAACAACTGCCAATTAACATTTTTTTAAATCTAAGTGCTTCTGTACATCAACGTATTCCTATCTATAATACAATTCTCACGTAACTTTCGTTGCTACACAAATTCATTGTCCCATAAAACGTCGCAAATGGAAAGCTGCCTGGGCAAATACATACATCGCAAACTCAAAGAAAGCGCAAAAATAGTGCCAAAAAGGAAAAAAATGCGTGGCAATGCAGCAGACGATACTGATAAGTTTCTATATGCGCGAAGCTCGTCAAAAATTTTTTCCGTCGCTGGTTGCAAGTCGTTCGCTCGTCACGCTTTCGATTCTGCGAAAGTCGTGATATAAAAGCTTCAGTCGCGCTGCGGTGGCGGCAAACAACCCCGTAGTCGAACATCTCATAAAAGCACGTTGCTGCAAGCTGCTGCGACGCTTGCGAGTAGTAGCCGTGCGATTGCATTTGGATATATCCGCGCGCCATCTCACTTTGCTAAGAAAAGCGGCAAACATGCCCTCTCTTTCTCTCTCTCTCTCTCTCTCTCTCTTTCATGTAGAAATTTCGCTACCACGATTTTCTTGCTTTATTCGAATGTTGCATGTACGCTCGAGTTACCGCTTGGCATTTCCAAAATCGCAATGGGATTCTAACTTGGACGAATTTTTTTAATCAATTTTTACCTTCAAATCTATTTTTATTTCGATAGTACAGTGAATTACTGCTTTTAAAGCCTCAATTACTTGTCCAAATACAGCATCACATGGATACGTGAAAATTTCAATTTTCAAATCTCGATGTTATCGGGTTTGAATAGATACAACTATTCTTCAATAATCGTGATTCAAAAGTTAAAAAAGATTCGATGTACGGTTGGAACACGTTTGAAATTACGAAATTTCCCGTAAATTGTAAATTTAAATGCGCAATATGTTGCAGAATAGACTTTCTAACGTAACGTCCCAAGTGGTATTTCGAAAGTATCGTAATTGCATCGTTCATAATTTCTGCTAAATCTCCGGACTAGACGATGTAAAGAAAAATGAATCAGTGACGAGTGCGATTGCAAGATCGAGAGTGAAGAAACAATAAATCAGATGAAGCCGATAACAAATGGGCAACAGAGAGAGAGAGAGAGAGAGTGAGAGAGAGAGAGAGAGGGGGGGCGGTCGTGGCTGTACAAAAGCCGAAGCTAGTCCAGCAAATAGTAAATCGTATTAGCGCGAAAAGTGCAGCGTTATCCTCGCGTACGTGTGTGTGTGTGCGGGCGCGCTTGGCCTGGGCGGTAAAAAGCTCTCTCTCGCCAGGCAGGCAGGCAGGCAGGCTTTTTGCTCGCGTACATATAGCGCGACTCCGAAAGCCCCGAGTCCACGGGAATAAGGCGTTGCGGCACGCAACGCCGCCACGCGGGAGCCGGGACCAGTCACGCTGCCCCCGGTCGCGACGTGCTAGTCCGTGCAAGCACATAGTTTATTTTATTCTCTCTTTAGTTTTTTTATCTTCTCGTCGAGCTGCCCTATCACCTCGCCTATACTTTTTCACTTAGCTTAGCTGTCTCGAGCGCCGCGCTTACGGGAGCTCTTTGAATTTTACTTTTTGCATAAAGTTGCCTTTTATCTGCAGCGGTATGTCACTTTGTTTGAGCCGGTTGCGATCGTGAGATAAGCATAATCTATGTTCATATTTCATTTTACTTACCTGGCGGTTCGCCCTTTCCTCTCTTTAACAAGATCAATGTGTAGGACAATCGCGCTATATCGTCGATACGAGTAGCAGTGATCTCTCGTCACTTTCAGATTATTCGAGATTTATGAAACAACAAGTCCATTCGAGACTTAGAATATTAGACCTTCTTTCCTTTTTTTTCAAAGATGTTACGCATCGTTTATTAATTAATATTTGGATTTTTTTCATTACATAGATTATAACGTTAATGTCTACGATTAATAGAAAGCTACGATACAACAACAATATTGTTTTCTCAATCGCGTATAAAACCAATACAAGTTCGATATGTCATTGAAGCATGTTCCGATGAAAGCATCCTATATCCCAGCAGAAAGTTGGCGCAGTGGACGCCAGAGGGCGATCGGGCCTTCTCGAGCAACACTCAAGCAAAATATCCAAAGAGCAGAGAGAAGGTGCAACTTACCAGGTTCGGCGAACGTGATGATTTCGGAAGTCCTGGCGTAGAAGTCATCCATGACCTCGGGTTCGGGCGGTGGTGCCCCGTAGAGGTCGTCGTACTCCTGATAAGGTGGCACACGATTCTGTCCGTCCTGGGTATTGCCGTCGTCGCTAGTTCGCTGGTTATTCCGATAAGAGTAGTCGTCGACGCCGCCGCCACCGCCGAACCCGTACTCGTCGCCGGCGCCCAAGCGGTTCCTCTCGTAATCCTTGACGGCGTTGTGATACCGCTGGCGCTCGTGGTAACTGTGCGCGCGGACCTGCTGAGGCTGGAGCGCGGGCTGCGCCTCGGCGCGGTAAATCGTTTCGAGGGCGAGGCGCTTGGGCACCGAGGCGAGCGTGCGGTTGACGTCGGGCCTTGCCTTGAGGCCGAGTTTGCTGAGTATCTGGTGCTTGATCGCCTCGAGGCGAATCTCGTCGGGGTCGGGCCTGAGGGCCTGGCGGGCCGCGTGCGGGCAGCCGGGGCACGATTGTCTGGAGGCGCCGGCGAGACCGACGAGGCCCGCGAGCAGCAGCAGCAGCAGTAGCAGCAGCGGGATCAGCCACCTGTGCCAGTATCTGTACCTGTGCCAGCAGACGCCACCGCCGAAAGCTCGGCCGTTGCTGTTGGTGGTGGTGGCGGTGGCGGTGGCGGTGGTGGTGGTGCTGCTACTGCTGCTGACGGCGGCGCCGAGCTGGCGGCCGGCGGCAGCGGCCGGGCGGCTCATGTCGGCCGAGAGTCACCTCTTGCCACGCGCCGCGCCGCCGTCGCAGCCGTAGCCTCGAGGCCGATCGCCGCCGGTCCGCCTGCAGGTGAGCGCGCTGAAGCCTGACGCCAGCACAGCGGGGACCAAGGCCTCATCGCCCCGCAGCCCCATCACTGCTCGCTCGCGCTGGCTCGTTGCTGCTGACGCTGACGCTGCTGCTGCTGTCCACCGCCGCGTGCAGCTCTTAGCCGAGGTGCGCTCGTGCTAGCCTGGGCCATCGAGCGCACGGGCTTCCCTCGAGCTTCCCGCTCACTTCCGATGCCGAGGATACTCGCTGCCGAACTCTCGCCTGCGGCTGCCTCGCTGTCTGCGCGTCCGTGCACTGTTCGTGTCAGCCCAACCCGTCGCTCGACGCACCTCTTTAGACGGCGTGCTGCGCTCGGTGCGAAGTGTGTCGGATCGGCTCTTAGCGACAAATCACTCGTGGCCTTTGCTGCGCAAAGTTCTAGGGCCGTCTGGACTTTCGCGGGCACTTTCGATGTGTACCTAACGTTTCACTACGGGTAAGGCTGGGGCGATGCTGATGCACCATTTAAATAGTCTAGCGGCGCCACTCGAGCTCAGACAGCAGTCTCATCTGTCGCCGCCACCACCGCCGCCGCCACCGCCACCGCCGCCGCCGCTGCTGCGAACGTCAGACCTCGATCACCAGCTCTTATTTGTGTGCACTTCTCACGCGAGATTGACCACTGTGGCTCGCACGTCCGCGACTGGGCATTGGATGCTCGCGTTCGTCTAGTTCAGACACGATGCGCGCACCGGTCAGTCACGTGTCCTCGCTAAGTCGACCAGCTATCGCGATTCTCTTCGCTCGACTGCCCGTTCCTGGACCATTTGCGCGACAGCGGATGCGCCGCGAGCGCTTTTCTCGCTCGACTACCTTCCCCGGTGCCGCAGCGCGGTACAAAAGCAAGCGTATATCTCGGATAGAGTTGGGTCCAAAATGGTCGAGTCTGCGCGCAACTGAAATGCGTATTTGGTGTGTGAGCACAACGCACAAGCAGGCACGGATGTCTCAGCAGACGGCCCGAGTGGCTGCGCGAGCAACTGGCTGGCTTCAAATGGAAAAAAAGTGACGATCAACACCGGCGAAGCACGCTTGTCGGAGGCGCGCCTGACACTGAGGTTCATCCACCAGCAGCAGCAGAAACAGCAGCAGCGCGCCACCGCCACCGCCGCCGCCGCCGCCGCCGCCGCCGCCGCCACCGTCGCCACCATCAAGCGCCACTACCCACCCACGACGCCCAAGCGAGCGACACATCGACGGAGAGGCAGAGAAAAGTGAGCGGGATAGTCTCGCTCTCCCTCGCGAGACCGGCTACAATTCGCGAACGCCGGTGTAATCTTTTGCACTCTGTGTGCGTGGACGCGTGTACTATGCATGTCCGTCCGTCCGCCCGTCCGTCCGTCCGTCTGTTTGTCTGTCTGTCTGTCTGTCTATCTGTCTGTCTGACTTACTTGTCTGGCTGCGAGTTCTCTTGCTCTCTTTCGCTCTTTCTTCTGCATGGTTCCTGCGAGCGCGAGGCTATGCACAACGCGATAGCGCGTTCCGTCAGAGCGCAGGCGTCTGACCAATCTGGAATAAACTCTAGAATCGCCTCTCCCTCCGTGCATTATAAGCACCACGTGGCGATCGCGTGGCCGTTCGCTGCTGTTGTCGTCACTTCAACCGATTGCACTGCCCGAGCTTGCAGGATTGGTCGTCTTGCCGGTCGACGATTGGCCATCTGGCGATTACATCGGGGATTGGCTGTCGTTCGTGCTGTCCCATCGACTCCATTGTTTTTCAATAATTCCAACGGCGCTCTTTCCGATTGAGAATTTTATCTATGGAAAATCGAAATGGCGTATCGATCGAAAGAAATTCGGCTGGAATCACCGCAAAGAACTCTCGTTGCTTCTTGTTCCGTGAAATTTATTCGAGGATAATCTCGGGATATTGTTCATGCGAAAATCTTGATCTTTTCTAGTAAAAACTTCTTTCTCCTCAGAACCAAATTTGCGATGATAGGCTGAATATGTGCTGGGAGTTTCCGAAATTCTTGTAAACCCGAGGTGCTAATATTCTACGGCATAAATTGTCCGAGATCTAATCTGCAAAGTGCTTTACTTGCAGAAGAATGTAACTTAGCATGATTGATTCAAAGTAATTAATTTCTTTAAAGTTAACAAAAGTCAATTTCTCATCTGTTTCTCTAATCGAAATTTGTCGAGGAAATTGAACTGAACGTTGCGCATAAAGCAAACTGAATCAATAAACTAAAATGTATGTAATATAAAAGTACAGAGCGGGAGAGTGAATTATATGCACCAATCGAGGATTTATACGCCACATGAAGAATTTGGAGAATACCAGTTCCTTCAAGTACTCGATGCGGATATTTCTCAATAATAGTTGCGGCAGTGTCGGGTGGCTATGGTGGCAAGTGAGGACTAGGAGAGAGAGAGAGAGAGAGAGAGAGAGAGAGAGAGAGAGAGAGTTTGCTGTTAGCATATTGATCAGGAAACGGTAGTTGGCCGCATGCCACGTGGTGATGCTGGGAGTGCGAGCAAGTGAGAGAGAGAGGACGAGAGAGCAAGCGGGGAAACTAAAAGGGAGAGAGAGAGAGAGAGGCGCCGCCAGCCTCTCCTCCAGTATTATGAGCCAAGGCTTCCATCTTCGTTTTCTCCCTTACGCTGCTAGAGGAGCAAGCTCCAAAGAAGGATCCTCTCAAACGCGACGTTTCCGAAAAAGTCTGCTCGCTCTGCTAGCTGTACTGGATTTTATTTCTTCTCTCTCTCTCTCTCTCTCTCTCTCTCTCCCTCTCTCGCTCTATCTTCCATCCCGCAGCTCGAGTAATGGCTTTCCGTCTCATCGCCCGCCTCTTTCGTTATTTTCCCTCTTCCTCTCTCGGTCGGTCTTTTTTTTAATTTTTTATTCGTTTGGTCCCATGAGAGTGAGAACGCCGAGGCCTTAAATTGAGATGTTAACTTAACAAGCCATCTCCAAGAGAGCGGACTATAGGGTGCGGTTCGGTTCAAGCGATTCGATATTTCATCCGCGCAGAGAATTAATTCGGCTCGCTCTCAGGCGCTGCTGCTTGTCGATCTCTCGGAGTGGGCGAGAGGGCGAGAGAGAGAATTAGCTCGGGACGACTTAGTCGGACTAGGTGGAACGGGGGAACGCGCTGAGAGAGAAGATGGCATAGCGAGAGAGAGAGACGGAGAGAGAGAGAGAGAAAAGAAAAAGAAGAGGAAAAAGAAAAGATAAATAAATAGGATACGAACGAGAGCGAATCTGGCTTATGTAGATGCGAGAGAGAAAGGGAACCGCCTTCTTGGGTGGCTACCGGTTTTACGATCACACCCCCTGCCCTTTCGCAAAGTTTCATCCGTGTAAAGCGCGCTTCGAGCCATCCTCCTTTTGAGCTCCGCCAACTATAGCTAGCAGCACTTGTCGCTTTCTCCAATTATCGATATACCGACGATAAATTTGCTCGCGCCGCCGTCGCTCATTCCGCTCGGATTATACTTGCGATCTCTCGCGACTCTCTGCCATCTTATCGGCTGCCGATCTATCCAGAGTTTTATCTACTGTAGGCGGCCTCCGTCGACCGATTATTTCACCCGCAAGCGCGTTCTTGTAGTCGGCCAACTAGTCGCCTAAAATAGTTGGAGAACAATGTTCCTTTTTAATTTGCGGCGCTGAGCTTGCGGAATCTACTTTGCCCTCGTACCAACGATGGAGAGGCTCGCGCTCTGACCGTCGGTAGGGCAGTTCGCTAGCCGAAAGCTTCTTTGGCGCTGAATTCAAACGAGCCTGCCGACGATGACGGCGCTGGTGCCGAAAGGCCGCGAATCCGGCTCAATAATATTGGATTGCTGACCATTGACCAAAGTCTTCGCCAGAGATAAGCGAAGCCTGCACCGCAAATGTACACCGAGCGGCGGTGCGTTGCATCGCCCAAGAGTAGGAGATGGAGAGTGGCGGCGGCGACCCGAATTAGATTGATCCGCCATTACGTTGTCTGGCGAGCGTCTCGACCGTTGATTAGCAGCTCAGGTTCTTGGAATTTTAGAGGCCCGCGGCGATGCGGCAACGCCGGCGTCGGCGCGGATGATCACTTCATTGTTTCTTTTTTCTCCTTGACTGCTCGTGCAGATTTGAGAGCGAGGGGAGCGAGAGAGCGGTGCACGTCGCCGATAAGATTTCAGGCCAATTATTATTGCACGATATCGGCGAGAGGAATAAGGCGAGCCCTTCTTGCGAGAAAAACACTGCGACGACTGTGTTGTTATTTTTAGCGAATGGTCGGCTCTCCAATGGGCCTCCATCAATAAATATTTCAACTCTCTATCGCTCTCTCTCTCTCTCTCGCTCTTTGGTTTTTATCGGGTGTTTGTTGCCGGCTGGGCGTTCGCTAATAAATCGGGCGGCGGTTTCGCGATGCTTTTGCAGCGAGAGCGAGCGCGACGCACGCAAGGGGGGTGCGATGTTGTCACGTTACTGTTAGCAATGACGCCGCCGGGAGTTAAAGAACTGCGCGCGGCCAGCGCGTCGACCGGAGATCATTGGCGCTGCTTCTTTTCCGTCGGCGTAGGCCGGCGGCGAGCTGCCGCGAGCGGAGGTATTTAAAACTCGCGGCAAGCGAAAATAGCTCGCGCGCGAGAGCGGCCGATAACGCTTGGAGGACGGTGCGCGCGCGCGCGAGAGAAAAACTTCCGCGAGGCGATGTACTCGCGAGAGATCGCTGGCAATAAACAACGCGAGCCCGTCGCGAGCCAAAACACCGAGGCGCTGGCGTTCGCTTAGCGCTCTTGTTATTTTGGCGAAGCCGGCGGCGCGGCCAGGCCGTAGAGGAGGCGATCATTGTCATTTGAATGGCGCGAAGGTGGGAGCGAGAGAGAGAAAGAGAGAGAGAGAGACGAGCAACTGACCTCGAGAGCGGCTCTCTTGCGAGCGCGCGCCGCAGCTTGTCAGGGAGCTCTTTGAGCGCTACGCCCGAACGGCTGTGTTGCTCATCAGCACTGATTGTTTGAGCACTGGATCAAGTGCACTGCACGCACGTTATTGACGTTGTACGCGTAGCGACCATATTACACCCTCTTCTCGTTGTACCGTGTACGCACCGTTCGGGCTGTCACCTCCCAGTATGCTCTCGGCGCTCCTCTCGCTACGTCTCGCGTTCGCTCTTTTTCGCCGCCAGCGCAATTGCAATGTTGACTGTTTGCGCCAGATCCGACTGGATTACTCCTCGATAATCGTCTGCGTACGAGTGGTCGCAGAAGCCAGTCGTTCATTCGCGTTAAAAAAAAAAAATCACCCGACCAATCGACAACCGTTCACTTTTATTTCTTTCTTTTGCACACATGTAAACTGACTTGTACGCATTCTGAGGAGCGTTATTTACGCCCGAGCGATAACCTACTCAACTCGCGCATCAATCTCAATTTTTATCGGGCTTCCAATCTAACATTATTGCCTCTCAGCGAGTGAGTGCAACTTTCAGCTACGCGCGTACGCACGACCAATCTCCATGCTACGTTTTTTTCAACAATCGTTACTTACAATGTAGCGCTAATCCAATTAACGATCATTTTCCGATCAGTCGCTTACACCTACTCCTGTGTTTTTATTCATTTTCTTGGCTTCATCAAAATAACGATTGTTAATGGCGAACACTTAACAAATTTATCCGTTCGTTGCATTAACCTTAAGCAAATCGAGTGTTCGTATAGAAAACATTTAAATAGACCGATAGTTTGAACTTTATTGTAAATCTAAAAAGGTTTCTCTCTCAAGATTGCAATTTTTGATGAGATGTTTGGGCTAATATTAAGTCGAGTCGAGCCTGAAAAGATCGCGCATTAAGATTGAGCCAGGAGGGTGAAATGAAGGAAAAAAATAAAGAGTTTTGCACACGAATCCCATAAAAAGAAAAGTAATTAGCCTCGCAGAGACGCGTGTGCGTCGGTCGTAGAAAAACGCACGAGAAGCAATCGGCGCGCGGTGTTATTTCCTTGGAGAATGCATTCGTCTCCGCGTTCATTTTCGTTTTTTTTTTTGTTCTCTTTCCATTTCATTTTTTTTTTTTGTTGTTAGTCGTACGAGAAAGA